AGGGGACATTGAAACTGTGGATGGTAAGGGACACTGAAAGTGTGAGGGGAACTATTTTCTGCCCATCCTGGTCTCCCCAGTGGAATGCTCATGTCTAACACTACTTATACACTTACACACCATGGGTTGAACTTTTGTGGATCTTCATCAAGAAAGTGTCTGTACATGGATAACACTCAGCTGCATATGAAGTCCCCATGCATAACTGAAGATGTTTCCAAGGCTCCAAACATTTCCATTTGTGCACTGCAAATCTATATCTACAATTTTTTTTTGGCTACATAGCATCCAACGGATGACTTCATTGCTTATAAAGTGATAAAAAAAAAAGGAATTAACCTTATAACCTATTCTCACTTTGAAATTTAAAGTAAAGTGGAACAATAGGCTATGCATTTCCTATTTTTAATCTTATGTGAATCTGGTTAACAAGACCCTAGCATACTGAATTCCGCTGCTTTTTTTTTTAATTTCCTGGTTGGCTGTGCAGGCTTCTCATAGGTACTGATCAATAGGTTAGCTATCCTTGGCTGAAAAGCAGGAACTGGACATCTGGATTAGAAATACCAGCAGGAGGAAAAAGACAGGCATTTTTACATGTAATGATCTTTAAAGTATTGTATTAAACTGTCATTTCCTATGAACTTCAAGTGTTGCTACCATTCAATGAAGTGATTTAGACTACCATGCCTGCCAAATGATCATGAAGCTCCTTGTCAAATGGAAGGGCTGTCGACGAAAATCCAGAGGAGTGAAAGCCTTGCCTCGGTGTGGCTTATCTTCTATGCATCATTGTAGGGGAAGCTTAAAGACCAGAGCTAGTGGGTAAAGATCGCTCTTTACTTGGAGTGGATCATGTCACCCTTCCTGAGACTGCCATGTTGATAACAGTCTCATTGTTGGAGGAGTTTAAAGACAGAGTTAGTGGGCAAGGATTGTTCTTTATGTGGTGTGGATCATGCTGCTGCCGTTCCAGAGAATGCCAAGTTAATAACACTATGGTAGTTATTTGAGGGACAAACCTCTGATTTCATCTGACTCTCATTGTTCTTGCCTCATTTGCAAACCCTACTATCCTAATCCTCATTTTAGCTTTCAGATTAAACAGGAGACTGTGAAAATACACACTTGTTAAGAAGGCAGTCTGAAAATGCATTTTCCTTGAAAGATCTAGCTGGAAAAGTATCCTCAGCCTGACACAGCTTGGTCCATCTTATCTTACAAGCTTCCTACTCCACACTCCTCTTAAGAAAGACTGAATTTCACCAGCAATTACTCCTGCTCTATCTCACTGTCAATGGTCATGACTTTTGCATTGAATTGACTGAATCTAGCACTGGTGTTTTCAATGGTGGACATTCAAGCAGGTCATGCAATTGAACAGCTCAAGTGGATATAAAGTTAAGAAAGGAAAGTAACAGCAGTGTGGAGCATTTTGTTTGATGATGAAGAAACAGAGGTCCTTTCCTTGGGCTGATGTATTTGAGCATGTGAGAACCAGTACTGTGGTACTCTCTGTTATACAGCAAGGGGACTGGGCCTTGGAGCAAACCACCTCTTAGCAGAAGGCAGCATGAAGCCCATCATAGAAAAGTTATTGGAATCCTGCTCATAGATCCTGAAGCCCACAGTAACAGTAAAATTTCAGACATGTCAAGCAACATATTCCTATGATAAATTAATGTTACAAGGCTTCCTGTTTATGGGACAAAAATATCCTGAATCACTACTATTTTATAATGCAAGATATACACAGACACACAGACAGACAGACACACACACACACACACACCCACACACACACACACACACACACACACACAGCACCACCACCACCAATAACAACAATTCTGTGGATATATAGTCACATATATAGAATAACATTCATATTACATTCTTTAAGAATACTTTGAAAGACTAATTTGTCTCATCCACCAGATCATGCAAAATTTTCACAATCAGAACTAATCTGTTCACTTTTCATTTTATAAAACTTAGCAACCCTCTGCCCCTTCCACTTGTTATAAAAAATGAATTAAATTATTTCTGCCCTTAATAAAAATCAACAAGACCTTACAATAAAGCCACAATTTTCACTGGTTACTGTAATCAGTGAGGGTCACATTTATTCACTGATCCAAGGAAATCCTACAAGAACATGCATAGTTATTTGGACTTATAATCAAATATAGAATGAGATAATTGCTAATAGAATAGAATTTCCATTGAGGACATTTTTTTCCTCTATGCTTGATAATGTATCTTGTATTTATTTTCTGAGAAACTAATTTTGATTCTTTGTGAATGTGTTTTGCCTGCATGTATGTATGCATGTATGTAAACTACACACAAGCAGTGCCCACAGAAGCCAGAGAAGGGCATCAGACCCCTGAAACTGGAGTTACAGGAAGGTGGTGAAACATCATGGAGGTGTTGGCAAATGAACCTCAATGAACCTTGGCCTTCTTCAAGAGTAGCCAGTTTCTTTACTGCTGAGCCTTCCTTCCAGACCCCTGGCCTCTTCTTCTCCCTTATATATATTTCATGTACTTCTACATGTACTAATAGTATATTACGACATTTTGACATGAAAGCCAAATGATTAGGGCTCATTAAAGTTGCTGCTGACACATTTTAACTTGTGACAAAGTTGATATTTAATAGGCATTGAATTGAATGCCTACAGAGAGTAATTAGGGAATCCCACGTAATGGGAAGAATAGAAAAAAACAAGAAAGGAGATACCATAATAGAGGGAGACATTTTAGGTTTACAGAGAAATGAGGTACTAGGGAAAGGTCTGGAGATCTACAAAGATGACACCAGCTAACAATCTAAGCAACAGAGGAGAGGCTACCTTAAATGCCCTCCCCTGATAATGAGATTGATGACTGACTTATATTCCATCCTATAGCCTTCATCCAGCAGCTGGTGGAAGTAGAAGCAGACACCCATAATTAATCACTGAACTGAACTAGAATCCAGCTGCAGAGAAGGACGAGTGATGAGCAAACGGGTCCAAACCAGGCTGGTGAAACCCACAGAAACAGCTGATCTGAACAAGGGGGAGCTCTTGACCCCCAGACTGATAGCTGGGATACCAGCATGGGACTGATCCAGACACCAAAAATGTGGGTTTCAGTGAGGAGACCTGGGAAATCTACAGGACCTCCTGTAGTAGTTCAGCACTTATCCCTAACATAGGTGTGGTCTTTGGGAGCCCATTCCACAAATAGGGATACTCCTTGAGCCAAGACACATTCGGGTTGGCCTAGGCCCTATCTCAAAGGATATTATAGACTCTGATGACCCCCTATGGAAGGCCTCACCCTCCCTGAGGTGCAGAAAGGATATGTAATAGGTAGGGTTTTAGTTGGGGGGAGGGTGGGTGGGAGGGGAGAAGGGAGGGAGAAGGAACTGGGATTGACATGTAAAACAACCTTGTTTCTAATTCAAATAAAAAATCTGAAATAAAAGGAATCCCATGTAAGAATGTGCAGACATCTTTATATCACAGAACCCTGAGTGTTCAGTGGATGTGCACTTAACAAAGGATGTGATGGCTGACAGAAGTTCAAGTCCACATGGGTGGGACACCATGAAGGCATGGAGACATTTATACTCTGATGCTGATTACTAATTTACAGAGTGCTATTATACAATATGGATATTATACAAAATAGAGATACTTCTACAATTTACCTTAAACTTTATATCAGTGACAACTGCAAGCATGCATGTGGAGGAAACTTACATAGAACACAAAATAGATTAAGAAAGCAGCTTTTATCCAGTGGAAAAGAAAACCCACCCAGCAAGTGATGGGCACCTGCTAGTTAGAGGTATGTTGTTTGTGATCACATACAAGCTGAAGGTTTCAATAAGCAAATGACAACAATCATGGGAGCCAAGCTCCACTCTCACACTACACCAGACCACACAGTCTTCCCAATGCAAAGTTGGCCTGCCTGACTGCATAAAAAAATGCCAAAGGAACTATTATACAAATAGCTCCATATATCTGGCTGTGAGATCACAATATAAATTATGCTTAGGACTTCTAAATAAGATAAATGAGTCCATATTTCCATCATCAAGATCAATGGGAATCCAGGTATTATTGAACACGGTAGATGTGTATTATAGACATAAGAGCTTTTAGAAGAATTTGCTTTTAAGCTCTCTTCTCAACTTACAGAAATTCAGGAATGCCAGGGTTGTACTTGCTAAAAGGATTCCACCTGAAACTTCTACACAAACAAACAAAAAAATCCTATGAAATGAAGACTCATGAAGACAGGGAAAATATTACCAGGAGTGGCATGTGGATCAATAAGATGGTTTAGTGGGAAATGCATCTACCTCCAAGTCTGACTCCAATAAATTGCCCTCTGGCTTCCAGACATGGGAGATTGCACCCACATAGATACATAAGCACACAAACATAGTAAGTGAAAATATAATAGGATATTATATTTGAAAAAGTGACATGTATCCAGATGTAGAAATTGCATGAAAATAACCATGGATGAAATCAACATGAAAAGTATATTTAAATTAATTTAAACACATTTAGAAATACAGCAAAAAACCCACTAAGATTAAATGTTAATTAAAATGAATGTTAGCATACAACCTTCATTGATTCTTTGTAACTCACTCTCCAGTGTGAACTGGTAAGGTAACTGGAATCACTAAGGCTACTTTCACCATCCATCACATGAACAGGAACCAGTGCTTGCAAGAAGATACCATCCTACAAATTCTATTTTAACTAATTGACCATCATTAAGAATTTTATCTTAGGAAAAGCTAAGTATAGAGCAGTTATTCTTCTCACTACACAACCCACATCAAATGTACTAAGCTTCTGTTTCTTTTTCAATCTGCTCTGTTAAATTGTACCACACTGAAACTGGCAAGCAATAGTATTTAGAGACAGTGCTGGATGAAGCAAGTATGATTTTTAAGTAAAATGACCTAGACAATCAATTTGTCAGTTTAATGGTATGAGGAATCGAGCTCCCTACGGAATGGACATCTCAGCAAATGTCCAGAGCAGTGCTCATTTTCAGGAGCACAGCTGAAGAGATGACCCCAACACCCTCGCTACCAGAATATGTGGACTATCTTGTATCAGAAGGACAGAGAGCATGGCTATACCACAAGTCTTCATGCTGCCAATGGGGTATGTGAGGGACATGGTGAGCTCTGTGATGGGTGGGGGTGAAGGCAACATTCTATTGTCCCCTGATGCCAGCTAAACTGCAAAGTCCATGGACCAGAGTTTAAGTAAAACTTCACAAAATACAGAGAGGTTCTCTGGGATATCTGTCACAATGGAGGGCCTGTTGCTGTCTGGGTGAGCTCCTAAGGCCCTTTCCTTCTCTTATCCAAGGAGGAAGGAGAGGAAGAGAGAAGGAGGGAGAGAGGAGATGAGAGAGAAAAAACATACAGACAGACAGACCAGAAACCTACAGTCTCCTCATCCCCTAAGCCAAGTCTGGGTTGAGAAAGGGAAAGGAGATAGGGAGTGGTGTTTTGATTTACATCACAGACTCTCTAAATCAAACAATGCATGAAAGTCCTGAGCTTATTAAACTCTGACCAGTTACACTATCTGAAATAGGGTTTCTGTGCTCTGTGTCTGTACAGGGAAAACAGTCATGGAGCCTACAACTCTGCTGAAAGAGGAGGTGGAGAGAGGCAGAGCCCCAGGAGCCAGAGAGCTGAGTCCATCACATCAGCTGGATGCAACTCAATCAGGGCTCTGGATTCCCGTTAAAGGGCAGTGGAAGCCCATTTTTTGCCCTAAAGGGAAACATGATTATAAAATAGTAAAATCAATGCTTGGCTATCGTCCAAAAAGAGTATTGGAGTCTATGAAGAAAATTACAACTCCAATAAGAAGTCTTTCTGGGGTGTTTCAAGTTTTGATTAAGGGAAGATATGTGTTACAGGGAAGTGGTGTGTATCATTTCTCTTCAATCTAATATTAAGCCTATGTTATGTTTCCTTTCAGAGAAGAGTTGGGTCATTAACTTGGAAGATGATTGCGGCTCTTTAATATATCCTTATAGTTTCTAATATGAAAAGCAATTAGCAGTATTTATACAGGTGTGAAAGAAGAAGAGATGGACAGAAAGAAGGATGTACAGTGATTACAGTCTAGATGTTATTGGAAGGATTTTAACATGAATGAAGGAAAATCATAAATTCATTAAAGTTCAGAACACATAGCTGGGAAATAAAGGAATTTAATTTGACCAATCTGAACTCCTAACCTCTGCACCCTGCTGCAATGAAGTAGTAAAAAAATATTGAAATGCACATGCTTAACAGAATAAAAGAACTCACCAAGACAAAAGAGCAGAGTACACACCCACAGACAGAAAATCCAAATGCCATCCAAAATTAACCCTTAAATCTAAGTAATGTACACAATGAAATTAACCAGGTGTTCAGTCATTGAACATTGTCCTCTACCAGCAGGGAACTGTGGTCATGATGGTAAAGGGGTGGGGGAGGGGTGAAAAAAAGGGCATGAACTGTCACAAGGACCTATTCTGTCCCCTTTGAGTACAAACGACCTGTACTGCCATTCTTCCCCCTTTGACCGGTGGTTCCTTCTAGACAGGTGCTATGAGTTAGTCCATGAAGTCCCTAGGTCTACATATATGAACCGTGGTAATCTAGTATTATTTAATTGGCAGGATGATATCAGGTCTTGGAACTATGGAAGAATAAAAGGGTATAGAATTGAAACGAAATAAAAACATCTTTATAAATATCTTTTCCTTTAAGGATTTGTTTTATTTTAAATGATGTGTATGTATGCATCTGCAGGTGGATATGTCCACATGCGTGCCATTGCCTGCAGAGGACAGCAGAATGTATGAGATCATCTGGGACTAGTGTTAAAGGTGGTCTGAGGTGACCTGATGCTAATGCTATGAGCCAAACCTAGCTTCCTGTTAGAAGTAAGATGTTTAAAGGCAGTCAGTCTCCATCCAGACTTTAAAGCTCACAATGGGAAAATAAACATTGCACAACTGTAGGGAATGATTTCTCTGACACAAGAAAAGAAGGATCTAGGTTGGTGGCTTTCTTCCTCTCAGCTCAGTGGGTCATGGGCAGCAGCGAGTCTTATTCTCTATCTAGACCTTTACAAAGATCTGCTGAAGAATGAGGGTCCCAGGAGTGTTAGGAGAAAACTAATTCCAGTACAGGACAATCAACATAAGCTAGGGCAGCTGGAGGCTATAAATCCTCCCCCATCTCAGCCAGGGTTAGGTAGCTTCCCTGTGTGACTGCTGAAGCAACCATTGTCATGCACATTGAGTCTGGCTAAGTCCAAGCCAAAGAAAATATTTCTACCTCTGTGACAGTGTCCTCTTCACCAATGTCATGGCAGTGGTCTTGAAACACTCCAGGAACCATCTCAGCAAATGTCTGACCTGATCATGCCACCTCAGGATTGACTGGGAAGGGAAAGACACTCAGGAGAGCAAAAGATGGATGGAAAGGGCCAACACTCCTAATAGAGTCTAACGGAGCAGAATGCAACCTATGTAGTTGACTTAGTCTCAGTGAGGCAAACTCAGTGCCCTCAGCCACTGCTTTCCCCAGATGCCACACCCCAATTCTGCTTTAGAAGCATAGTTACAGTGACTCATATCTCAGTTTGTTCTCTGTACATTACCTCAGCTCTGCAGCTGCCCAATGCAAAACCTGAGGAAATCACAGATTCTCTGTTATTTGTTTGCTTCGACTCTGTGGTGGTTTGCATGAAAACAGCCCCCATATGGAGTGCTACAATTAGGAGTTGTGACCTAGTGAGAGGAACTGTGTCACTGGAGGTGTGCTTTGTTTTGAGGTTTTGAGTGCCCAAGCCAGGCCAGTGTCATTCTCTTCCTGTTGCCTACAGATCAAAAGGTATAACTCTCAGCTGCCTTTCCAGTACCATGTCTACCTGCATGCTGCCATGCTTCCCACCATGAAGATAATGGGCTAATCTTCTGAACTATAAGCCAGCCACAGTTAAATGTTTTCCTTTATGAGAAATGCTATGGTCATTGTGTCTCCTCTCATCAGTAGAAACCCAAAATAAGACAGAAGTAAATATGAAATTTGATGTAGACTAATCTGCCAGTAATTGTTACTGATTTGGTACATGCATTACAGGGAATTAGGAATTAGGAAAACCCTTTCTGGGGATACAACCTATGACATTTATGATTCCATCATGCTAAAGGGTCAAGAATGTCAATCTGAGGTCCAAAGTTGCCTTGACTCATAAAACAACTGCTCTCATCTTCACTTCACTATAACCAATAAGACGGAGCTTAAAAGAAAATGGTAACAAACAGTAAGTTCATGCAAATGAATAAAAAGAAAATACTTTATTTCTAAAACACTAGTTACATTACATTACTTTCTTTTGTCTATTGTGCTCACAGATTGTATTTAATTCTGTTAAATTAGTTCAGAGGAAGTTCTACTCTTATGAGACTCTCTTGGCCAGTACCCTAGCTAAAGGATTTTCTTCCTGCAAGAAGAGTTACTACAAATCAGATGCTCTTTTCACTTTGGTCTATAATACATTTAAAACTGTGAAATGAAGTCCTTCAAACTTGAGGAATTATAGGATGTAGGTTTTGAAGCAAAGAAATATCAGATTCATCCAATTGGCTAATTCATTATAGCCTCATGGGGCCAGAATTACTCCCACTATGGAACTGATTCTGAATAGGAAGGGAGGCTTCCAGAGGCATGCACAAACCTGACACCAACAGCCGAACTGCTAATGTCTACAGCAGTCCCTCACAATGTCTATGTTATAAAATAAATCATGTATCTGTAACATTCTTAGTGAGCTTATTATTATCCAAACATTTTAACCAGTTATCAAAACAATACCTCCTTGTTTTCCAGCTGGCTTTTACCTGCAAGATATGCTGTAAAGACGGGGGATTAAATTCCCTTTGTCAGAACATAAGTTGTAGCTGAGAGCACACAAGCTAAAATAGTTACTGCTCAAGCTGCAAACACTAGCAATAGATTGTTGGAAGAGAAAAGAAAGGGACAGAATGAATTGAAATGTGAAAAAAAGTTAATGTAATAAATTATCACTTGTAGAATGAAGCTGTATGGCTGCTCACTAGAAAAGTTAACATTTTGTAGTGTTAAAGTTTCTACATCGAAATTCTAGAAAATTTATTTAAATCGCTCACAAAAACTTAAACATGAATTTCAACCAACACTTTACTTCAGACCCTCTATATGTGAACTGCTGGCTAGTTAATTATTTTGGAACCTCATTGCTAGCTGCTTAACTTTTTATATATGATTTACCACATCCCATTATGCATCACTGAGGAATCATTTCCTAAGCTAAATGTCAATGTCAATGACCTAATATCAGCATAAGGGACACTGAAATTCACATTGCAATGTCAATTAGTAATACTGACATTTCTATTTAATTGAGAAAATTAAAAGTCTAAAGTCATTCTAATTTAATTTACTGCTGTGTTATTTTAACCATCAATTTAGCAATGCATATGCTGGAACTATTTTTTAACAACCCATTACAGGAGTACAACTGTCCCCAAATAAGCAAAGAGTACACTCATCTTCAAACTGACATTTAATATCCCACAAATAGATAATGCAAAGATCAGTGTAGGAAACCATTCCTGACACATGCAATTTTTTCACTTACTATGATTTTGGATTTTGGTGTGTGTGTCATGAAAAGTGTTATAGTCTTACTTGAGGCCTGTTCTTTTCTGAAAAGAAATGGATAGGGAGTGAATCTAGGGGAAAGGGGAGAAGGAAAGGGGAGCTGGGAGGAGAGGAGGGAGAAGGAAACTGTGGTGGGGATTTTTTATGAGAGAAGAATCTATTTTCAATTAAAACAAAAAAGGGTGTAATAGTCAATCAGGAATTTTCTTGACACAAATCTATCCCAAGGTATTATTAGTATTTTAATTTGATCCAGAGAATGTAGAAGCTCTCGCTTAAAAAACACACTAGAAGCCAGCCCAAATCATAAGCACAGAATTTCAAGGCTGAAGTGAATAAAGAAATATCAGTTTTTGTAAAATGATCACGTGCTCATCTAGCATGTAGTGTATTTTTGTTATGAAAGTTATTGTTATATGTTTTCTTTATTTGATAAATACTTCACAAAGCAGAACAATGCTCTCATGTCAGTAAGTGTTCAAGAAAGCCATTATTCATAATAGTATTTAAAAGTCTTCTAGGCCATTATGCATCATACTAGTATCAAACTGCCTAGTAGTACTTCATCGTTAACTCTATGGGAGCATGATGAATGGGCATGTATGAAAACTTTCATGCACATAGTGAGATATACAAGTCAAGGTTCAGTATAAACACAGAAAACATGTTCTTAATATAAAATCATTAGGCAGAGATGTTCTCATATTCAAATGTTTTAATCAATGAAATAGCAATTGACCAAAAAATGGTGCTATATTGTGGGGTTTGAAAAATATGCAAAAGTACGGGGACAGAGTATGCAGCTAACAATAGCAAAGTATGTTATTTTTAGTTTCTCAAAATAGGTAATGAGCTCTGCAATAAAATGTGAAATTGGATAAGTTACAAATACATCCATAACCATATAACACCCATCTAATAATAAATGTAAGCTGTATAGATAATATGCCAAAGGTAGTGATCAAGAAACACTTTGAAAGGAACTCCAGCGAATCCAAAGTAGTGAAGAAGGTGCTGAGAAATACAAGAGCAGAAGAAAAAATGTTGTGTGACCCTCAAATCACATGGCTCCACACTGAGCAAGTCCTCTTCTGGCTTCCCTGTTAATATGAAGAACTGCATTCTGTAGAATGTAGATTCTTTGGACCTTAAGGTATCCCAGGGAGCTGGAGCTCTCAGTCAGGCAAACACTTATAATAGGAAATGATTAACACTTACAG